TACAGGCCAACAAATCTAGCTTGAGCTCTGAGATCTCGATGCGCAGTGGACAAATTCCCCTACTACCGATTTAACTCATTTCTCGACTTGTTGGTCTCGCGGTGCTAACGTTTGTACAGTCCGAAGAAAAGTAGTTTTACTTGTAGTTTACCTATTTATTATTGGAGTAGATAAATAATTAGTTATACAGGTAACAAATTACTAACACTTGCATATAGTTTTTTGTTTTTTTATTAACAGTATGCCTTTTCGTAGTAAAGTTAGAAACAAGGTTTTGAATAGCCAAGTCGTGAGATTGTTAGTACCATAACAACTTTTATGGAACAAGAGGCCATTAACGGTGAATCAACAATTCCTCTTGCAAGGGTGAATAGTACAAAATTTTTTTATACTTAATTAAGAGGTGGATATTTTAGTTTATAAATTGTTTAAATTTATGAGGTTGATTAATAAATGTAACCGTAAAAATTTAACTACAAATCCATTTTCTTACAAATACAAAAAATTGTGCCACTGAGTGTACTCTCGCTCATCTGTCCTTGTCCCACATAGTTCTGTGTCGCTTCCTCGTCTGCGCATCTTGCGACTCAAGCTAGGTTTGTTGGGCTGTACTAGATATTAAAATATTCAAAATTAAAATTTTGTGTCAAGTTTGTCAATTGTGAGTCTTGAAACTTAAATCGCAGCTTTAAGAAGTTAATACCATTTGTGATACCACGTACACCAAAGTAGATCGGGAGATCTCCCCTCRCATGGCCCCCACAATCGCCAGACTTGGCAGCTAACGATTTTTTTCTTTGGGGATATTAAAAACAAAAATTTATACAAATGTTCTTATGCAAAATGTAGAAGAGCTGAAAGAACGCAATCGTACAGAATGTAATAATATAGATCCTGAATTATCAGGAATGCAGTGCAGGGTTTTGAAAATCGCTTGGGTTATTGTTTAGAACTGCAAGGAAAGCATTTTAAACACTTTAATTATTTAATATTATTCTTGTTTTGATGGGTTTTAATTTTTTTAATTAATATTTAATTACATTTACTTTGTTGTTTTTAAAAGTTTGTCTTTTATTTATTTAAGCCTTTGTAATATTGGTTGCCTATGCCTAGACTAACAGCCACGGTGTAAGATATTTCGGTGATGCAGCGAGCCCTGCAAACGTGTAGCCAAACCGGTGAATTTAGAAAGAGATAGCGTAATCGGGCCATCATTACTATCAATAAAAATGAAGGAATGTACCGAAAAGTTGCAGTTGTATGTATAAATGATAATAGTTATAATTTTTTTAATACAAGTTTATACATATAAAAAATACACGTCATATACCTACTACCTATACATCTAAATTTAAATTCTATAAGAAATATTATCTAAATGATAAAGCTTTGCTTGAACTTTTTTTATTACATGTGTTTCTGTTGCGAAACGTAAAACAAATACATATTGAATTTTACTTGAAAACAGTTATTATATAAAATAATTAGTAAA